CACTAGTGTTTAGTTTAGTTTACAGTACAACAAGATGGTGCAGTGAGTCAAAGTGACCTTTATTTAGATGGTGACAAAAACAAATTGAAAAAAAAAAAAAAGAAAAAATGGAGGCAGGGCAAAAAATAAAATTATTAACGATAAAAAAGTGGATAACGCCACTTCTGTTTCTACTGTGTGTCTGTTGCTGCCTCTAGTGGTGAAAGTTTTAGTTGCAATTTGCAGAGATTCTTACAAAATGCATCTTTAACAATGAAAACAAAACCCCTTTATAACCATATAGTGAGGTCGTTGGGAAGATTTGGGCGTTTTCCGATGAATAAATTCGTACTTACTAACACAAAATTTAAATTCACCTCATACCAACAGATTTTTTGTCTATTAATAAATGCGGTAGTTTTGTTGCCATTCACTGCTTTCCCTGCTATTTGTGCACGATGATATACGACGCTTGTCTAGGAACCACTTTTTTGTACTCTGCCTGTAGAGACGTATTGTGGGATGCTTATAGTCAAGTGTAGCATACTCATTATACATTCAGAAGCACTCAAAGGAAACTAAATAGTCCATTATAGTGAGCAGTGAGTGATTGCAGACACGGGCAATGTTCTTTTCAAGTATATTCGCTATTCTCAGCTTCTAAAATAATTTGCTGCTTTTCTTTGTGACCTATGATTGTTAAAGTAAAATAATTCTGGCTTTCTGATGTTTGTTAGAGAAAATATTATACATGTTTTGTTAAGTAAATTGACAATAATTCCAATAATAAAATGTTTGTAGAGGTGCTATTATGCATATGTGCTCAGCTACAAACGGATATAAATGCATACAAGCCCAAACAGGCAGATATTGCAGCTATTGTTGTGTTTGGTTCAGCTTTAACACTCTGTGATTTCAGTTTTAATCTTCATCAGAAGGATGATCCACTCCTCAGTGGGTTTAGAGAGCTCTGCAATCCGCTGGTCTTACGAAACGGACCAAAAACAGCAGCTTGGACAAAGTCAAGCTGCACATCTGTATCTGTTAGGCATGAGTGTCCACTCTGTAACAGCAGGAGAGTGTGGGGAAGGAAGAGGGAGGGTGGCCGTAAAGAAATGTGTGTTTGTGTGTGTGACCGTGTGTGTGGGAGGGCTGTCTGGAGACACAAGGTCTGCCAGACTGACACAAACACACTACATCATTCCAAGTCCCACAAATAAACCAGGGAGAAAGTTTGCTTGCGACATCTCCTAAAGCCTGCAGAAAGCTGGATATTGTTCTCATCATCTTTTATTTATTTATTTTTTTAAATTGACAATTTTCAGGCCCAAATCCTCCAATTCAGCTTTCC